ATTTCATACTGGTTGGGATTAATTTTTGCACCGGTTAATTCAACTATCATTTCAATATATTTCATATGTTTTTTGGCACTGTCCGGCATCATAGGCAAATCATAGGTTTGATTTTTATCAACCCTAATTCTGGGTCCACCACCCGTAATTTTCCGAGCGATAACTACTACATTATGAGTTAGACCTACCCGAGTTTCCTCGTTTTCATTATCACGAGCCTTTCAATTAAAAGTAACCGCCAAGCAATTCATTACCCCAACCCTCTTTTCGGATTTTAAATCCGGAATATCTTTTTCCTCTAACCCTCACTGTCAAAGTTCAATAATATCGTATCAATGATAACCTTTTTTTCATAATTTAACTACATAATTGCGAGGAATTTGCCGTCATTTAATTAAATCCTCTTCACGTATATCCATACCACCAGTATTGTAATTTCCGGTCATGGTCCATTCATTATAAGGACATTCATCTTGCTCCTCCTGATAAGAGGGGACGGGAATGGAGGGAGTTTTTGTCGGTTCATTATTATTACTTTGGCGAGGAGTGTTAATCCAAAAAGCAACTATCGCTAAACCAATTAGGCTGACAATTCCACTAATTATTAAAATCGTTTTTTTTTTTTTTTTGCTTCATTATATATTATCTTTCTTCTTGGCTAATTCTCTTTCTAAATAATAAAGTTTCGCTCGGCGAACTTTTTGATTAATTTTGCCAATTTTTTTAATGCTGACAATGAGCGGAGAATGATAGGAAAAAATGCTCTTGATGGCTACCTTATCACTCCCTTTACTATCCTTTAATACTGAAAAGGTATAACTAATTTGGTGGGGATTTTTTTGGGTAATTACCGTGCCTTTAAAATGGGTCAGCCGATATTTTAGTTTTCCATCATCCTTACTTTTTTCATTTTGGTTAAAATTTTTGGTAGTAATTTCTACTTTATCACCAACTTGCAAGGGGGGCAAGTCAGTGCGAAAATACTGTTTGGTTATCTCACGAATTGTATCCATAATTTAATTTTTTAACTTTTTTGAATAGATACCTCATTAAACATTGCATTTTCTTCTTTGGTTACCTAAAACACGATTGTTTCACGAAATATACATCTTTTAAGCATGATTTTTGCCGAGCATTAACCAAATTCCTCTCTAATTAATTTCATTCTCGTTAGGGAACTTTTTCAATAACTAGCTTTCAGAACAGCATTTAG